CCGATAGTCATAGAGCTGGGGGTGGAGTGTGAGAGCGCGAGCAGGGACTTAAACGACAGTTCTCCCAAGGTTTGTACTGAGCAGACAGCATAAGGATGGGGCTAGCCGAGGGAGAAAGGAGGAGCACCCACTGGATTAAGGCCTATTCAAACATTAAGAAGGGATTTAGTCTGTACCACCACCAGCATCTAGGCAGTCAGATCACCTGTCCATCCTTTAACCCGCAGCATTACACCAGGAGGGAGGGAAAACTCAACCCACCACAAAGGACTGTTAAAAACATTGGCCTGAAGGAGCTGCCCTCGCAGGTACCAGAATTGCTTTCGAAAGACTATCTGGGATATTTTGAGGGTTCAGGGGACTTGGAGGAGTACGCGAGTCTCAAACTGTGACTCTGCTATATACAGACGGTGATAATGTGACTGTTGAAAAACGTATCAGATATACCCCAACCAGAAGCCGCTTGGATGACGAAGGAGGTCAGAGCTCTCCTCAAGGGCCGAAACATCGCCTTCAGGTCTGGTGATAGTGCTCAATACAGTGCAGCTAGAGCCAACCTGAAGAGAGGCATCAGGGATGCCAAAGCAGTCTACAAGAGGAAGATTGAGGACCACTTCACCAACAACGATCCTTGGACTGATCACAAGAGGAGATGAGTCAGCCTACAGGGATGAAATCCAGAGACTGGCAGTGTGGTGTTCAGATAATAACCTTGTTCTGAACTCCATCAAAACAAAAGAACTCATTACAGACTTCAGGAAAAACAGCACAACACCAGATCCACTGTACATCAACGGCAACTGTGTGGAAAGGATTCCCGCCTTCAGGTTCCTCGGCACACACATTGCTGAAGATCTATCCTGGTCTATCAACACCACAACATCTGTGAAAAAGGCCCAGCATCGACTCAACTTCCTGAGGATCCTCGGGAAAAAACAATCTGGAGGAGAAGCTTCTGGTGTCTTTCTACCGCTGCTCCATAGAGAGTGTGCTGGCATATTGCCTAACCATGTGGTGTGGCAGCTGCTCAGAAAAGGACAGGAAATCCCTTCAGAGGGTCATCAACACAGCCCAGAAGGTCATCGGCTGCTCACCTGCCTTCTCTGGAGGAACTCTTCAGCCAACGTTGCCTCAACAGAGCAGGCAAAAATAATTACAGACTCCTCACACCCTGGACACTTCCTGTTTGCTCTTCTGCCCTCCGGTAGACGCTACAGGTCAATTCAATCAAGGACAAACCGACTGAAAAATAGTTTCAACCCCAGAGCCATACGAGAACTGAACACCGTCAAACGCTGAACTGAACAGTTACAACTTGCAACTGCACTACTTTTTAATAGTTTTATTAACTTATTAACTGATCGACATCAGAGATGAAAAAAAATGTCCCTGTGTTTTTTATATTGTAAACTGTATTTCAATTATGTGCGGGCATGTATGCGTGTTGGTATGGATGTGTGAGCATATGTGTGTATATTAATCACATGATTGTCCATAGTTAATCGCGATTAATCGCAAATTAATCGCACATTTTTATCTGCTCTAAATGTACCTTAGAGGAATATGTTTCAAGTTTGTAATACTCTTATCAACATATGAGTGAACAAATATACTTTACGCAAATGTTTATTATCATTTGAACAATGACAAATATTCTCACGTGTCTCACACGGTGGTAGAACCTGAGCCCGGAGTACTCTGCAGAGTGCTTCGTGATTAGGTGATTAGGTGATTGGGTGATGTATTGTATGTTTTTGCCATTAAAGCAGATTATTGTTTAACCATTATCCTGGCTGCTTTGAATTTTTCCTTCTTTTGAGAACCCGCTCATATAGGAACGGCGCGGAGCAGACGTTCTGCCCCAACAATACACACACCCTCCCGGTCCTCCCGATGGCCAGTCGGTGCCTGCCGGTGAGCGTGGAAGTGTGGTCTGCCACAAGCGGGCAGCAGGAGCGGGGCTGTCAGCATCAGCTTGTAGATGGTATTTTAAACTCGCTCTGAAACTACGGGGCGGCCGAGGAAAAACAATACACATTAATCGCGTTAAAATAATTAGTGGCGTTAATCTTTTTTTACGTTAACGCGTTAACGCATTAACGTAAAAACAATAAAGGAATTATATTCTACAACATAATGCGATCTCAGACAATAGCTGCTTGCAACTCTCTGCGTTATCAGAGAGCAGATATAATACGGGAGTTTACCCAACAAAGCTTTTTAAATAAACGTGTACCAATGACTGAGCCTCTTTACAGTAAGTGATGGCAAACCTGCCTTGGCATACAGGGTGTTTCTATATGTACAAAAGTGGTGGGGCACCGAAAACGTAGATGTCTATATATTAGAGATGTTAAGATTCACCGATTCGCATCGGTGCATCGGCATAAACGTTCAAGATGTGAGTGCACCGGTTGAAA